CTAAACTGAGTAGAGTGACTTTGTCATTGTGTTATTGTGCTGATCCCAACAGGATGCAGGTTAAAGACTGGAAAATACAAAAAGTGAAAAACAGCTCTCATAAATATCATTGACAACGTGCTGCTACTTCAATAAAGATGTAGTGACTTCACCTCTTAAACTCTGCCAGCTCCACCAGTGGCTCCATCATCACTAACTCATGTTGTGCAGCCAAACACAAATCACTTATTTAAAGAATCATGAGGGTAAATTTAAGTTGAAATCAAGTGTTTAAAGCAGGGCTGTTCAATTACAAATTCAACTGGGCCGGATTTTAAAGCAGAAAATGTTGATGGGCCAGACATTTTCAGCAGCAGGCAACCTATTGGAAACTTTTTTGTTTGAGCTATTGTTGATGACACATTTCTAAACAGGTGCAAATTACTGTAGTAAAAGTAGCAGTGTTTTTAGTGTCACATTTGAAACCCAGACAAAATGTTAGTCTCACACACACACACACACACACACACACACACACACTATGAGGTGTCAAACGTTTCACCCAACCACACTACAACGCATCAATTGCGCCTACTTAAGGCTGATTTATGGTCCTGCGTTGAATCAACAACGTCGCTACATCGTTGCCGTGACGCCGTCGTTGCCGTGATGCCGTCGTGAACCCTTCGAACTTCTCCGTCACTCAGTTTCATCGCGGTGCAATTCACCACCAGAGCGGTAGGGGGCTGCGTTCCTTTCCTGAGTGGTTATCGTCGTCTTTAGTTGATTCTTTGTTTAGCTTCCGGCTTTTCTGGTCACAATGAACAATGTCGACCGAGAGAGAGAGAATCTTGCTGGAGCTGGAGTTGTTGGATGTCGAAGAAAGTATGTTAATACTGCAACATCTACATCGCAACAGAAGAAGGAAGCAAGCTACAAGTTGTCCTCCAGCACTGTGTCTGCTGTACTGTCAGAGGTCTGCAAAGCTTTATGGAGGGCCCTGCAGCCTGAATTTCTTCCATGCCCTTCAACTAGCCAGTGGGAAGCTATTGCTGCAGACTTTTGGCGATTGTGGAACTTCCCGAACTGCATAGGAAGCATCGACAGGAAGCACGTCAACATAAAGGCACCGCCACGCTCCGGGAGTGACTACTTCAACTACAAGGGTTGTCACTCCATTGTTATGATGGAAATGTGTGATGCAAGGTATTGCTTTATTATTATTGTTATTATAATTATTATTATTTTTATTTTATTATTTTCATTAACAAATGAACAACATACAGACAGTATACAAGACAACAGCAAACAACAGAAGACCCAGGGGTTACATTACATAAAAAAGTTGTATTGGTTACAGATATTTAGTGTTTTATTAGCCTTTAGATCAGTCACATTATTAAGTAACTCTAAATAATGCTCAATTTCTTCCTGACAGGTATCGCTTCACCATGTTGGACGTGGGCGGATATGGAAGGGAAAGCGATGGGGGCATTTTCAAGGAGAGCAAATTCGGTTTGATGCTGCTCGACCATGACCAATCTGCCCGCACCAGCAAAACTCCCCGGAACAGAAGTCCAAATCCCCCATGTAATTGTCAGTGATGCTGCCTTCCCCCTACACTGCAATCTCATGCGTCCCTTCCCAGGTACGGCACAGACTTAATTTCACACTTAATTTTCTTTGTAATGGCCACTTACTTTTATTTGTAATTCAAATGATTGTGACACAACAATGTTCTATTTATTAATACTCTACTGTCTACTTTCCTATGCAGGGACAAATCTGAGCATGGAGAAGCAGACCTTCAACTACCGTCTTTCCAGCGCCAGGCGGGTTATTGAAAACAGCTTTGGAATCATGGTGGCAAGGTGGAGGATTCTTGGGCGACATGTTGAGTTCCTGCCAGAGAAGGCTGTGGATGTTGTAAAGGCATGTGTCATCCCACACAACTACCTGGCCTACACTGACGAACTGAACACACCAGAGACCAGATATATACCACCAAGCTTTGCGGACTCGGATTCAGGTGGATCGGTGGAGCCTGGGGAGTGGCGAAGACTGGTAGCAGGGGACTCAAATCTGGTGGGATCCATAGATCCCTCACAGATGTCAAGGAGCCGTTCCACCAGAGCTGCCCAGGCTGTCCGCAATGATTTGACTGCCTTCTTTCAGTCACCGCAGGGAATTGTTCCATGGCAGAACGACACAGTGTGCCGTGGCACTCTTGGCTAGTACAGAATAGTCTGAATACTGAATGTACATTGAGTCACTGTGAAAAAACTGAGTCATGATATTATTGAAATTGCTCATATTGCTGTCATCATGTTTTGTAAATGGATGTTTTGGGAATAAACAAGTCCAAATGTGTGCTGTGATAAATGTGTCTATGTATTCATAGTATCAATATTTTCATCTGTGAAATATTCAAAATTATCTATCATTATTTCCCAGAGGCCAATGCAACATTCCTTTTGAGTGGAGCAAAATACAAACAATTTATTTCCTCATCCGAGTATTGTTTTTGTAATCCCACTAACAACAGCTTTAAGTGATAACGAGAGAAAAATTCACATTCACGGTTCACATTCACTTCGGGATGATTAACATTGTTTTTCATGATGATGATGAAAAAAGTTAGTCTGGAGCCCTGGTTTTCAGAATAGTGTACATTTTTAACTACCATGTGAGTGTGAATAAATTTCTGTTGTGAAATGAACTTGTTTTTTTCCCCATAAATTTGGTAATGTGCAGGAAGTACAAAAGGGCAAAAATCCAACATTAATAAAAACTCAAATATAACAAGTTAACCTATTAATATACCTATATAGGTGTGTGTATATAAAAAAGAAACTATATATTAAAGTATTATATGAACTAAAACAGTGCAAGACTGGTACATTAATGTACAAGTATAAAGTGTAACTCGCATTAAAACAGGTGAATATTTAAACATATATAATTCATGTTTATTAGTGTTCACTTGTTTTGTTTTACACTAATAGATTATTGCTATAGTTCTGTGTCTGGACTATATTATCATTTACCTAATAATTGATGAAAATACAAATACATGAAATTCTCAGAGTCACAATCACATTCAAAGTGGACTTTATTGCAATAACAACAAACTTGTAAAGTATAAACTTCAGTATATGTGCAATGGTCCAGTCCAAGAAAAGTAGATGTAAAATTAGAAAGGTGCATTAACATAACAAATTAACAAAAGAGATAAGGACAACTATTTACATTGTGCAAAAATGGAAACCCAATTAAACCAATTAAACCAAAAAAATCACACACACACACACACACACACACACACACACACACACAAAGAAAAGAGCACTTTTTTCTTAAAGTTCACTGCTGCTTCTCGCTGTCATGCAGTAGCTGGAAGACTTTAAACATGGCGTCAGGCCGCTTCTCATCAGGCACCCTCCTGAGAAAATCAGCCACCATCTCCCCAAACCTGGAGCACTCATCCCTGGTGTCCTGTGCCAACCTCTGGTGCAGTTCCAACCGCTTGTCATGAAACTCAGCCAGCTGCTTCATGAACAGCTCGTCCTGGTCCCTGCGCTTCCTTTTCTGTCCCATCCGTGACACAGGAGATGACAGCGGGGACAGCAGCGGGGACGTCGAGGGCAGCGGGGACGGCTGAGTGGACGCTGAGGGCAGCAGGGATGGCTGAGTGGACGCTGAGGGCAGCAGGGATGGCTGAGTGGACGCTGAGGGCAGCAGGGATGGCTGAGTAGACACTGTGGGTTGCTGTGAGCAGGATGACGGTGGAGGGTCATCTGAGGAGGGTGACGATGGCTCCATGCTGGATGCTGGAGATGTTCGGAGAGAGGGGGTTCCTTTCTGTGATAGTGAAAAAGCAGACATTTTAGTAAAATGCAACATACACATAAATGCAGCATTACTACTAATTCAAAAATATCTCATAATAACACACAGAGGGAGCATTTTACTACACAATGAGGACTTTTAAGTACCTTTTGCTGATAATATTTACGTACTTTAACTTAAATAAGGTTGTGAATGCAGGACTTTAACTTGTAGTGGAGTACACACTGTGGTATTAGTATTTCTTATGTAATAAAGGATGTGGAATCTTTGTCCACCACTGCCTATAATGTGTAGTTTTTGTTAGAAATGCATTGATTAACAGAGCTATGAAGACAGCATGAGTTCTGTGGAAAACAATAGGTTTTGGGGGGGGGGGGGGCATCATGGGATTTCTTTATCATGCCCTAGCATTGTTAGCTTAGCTCGCCCAAACCGAGAGGCTACCAGTAAAGAAAAATGAACTTATATTTACCTGCGTATCATAATTGGACTCCGTCTCTCGATGCTTCACGTGTGGAGCCAACCAGGACAGGAAGGTGTAGAATGTGGGGACTTTTTTTCCACCTGGATCCCCGCTTCGTGAGGCCAACTTTTTCCTCAGGCGAACATATTTGTCCCTGAGGTTTTTCCATCTTTTTAAGCAGTCCGCCATGTCCAGGCCAATGTTACCTGATATCTGCCTCCAATAATTTTGTGCCATCTGGCAGTCTTTATAGTGCAGTGATGAGGAGTTTTAGAGGTGTTCATATTTTCTAACCTCCTCAATGAGTCACTCTTCGACTTGATCCATGCTCAACAACAAGATGTTTAAAGATGGCGGGGATGGCGGAATCTGGAAATACGGAACCGGAAATGCGTTGCTACCGAGCAAACCAATCACAGCCCTGCCGGTCTGCGCTGGGTCTGCGTCGCCTTGACGTGTACATTTTTGGGGAGGTGCACGTCAGGCTACGCCGGGGGCTACGGCGAGCCTTCTGCGTAGCCACGTACCCTACGACGTAGCGTCGTCGTCGATTCAACGCAGGACCATAAATCAGGCTTCAGGACACATCAAATCTAATCAAACCGCGTGAGCGCATGCCTACATTTTACATAGGGTTACTATGGAGACACGAGTGTCACACACACGCCTGCTACATGACGCGCAGGCGCTGTTCGCTCCACTCACATGACGCGCTCACACTCCTTATCAGTACGCGTGCACAGTGCGTTACAAACGCCACACATTCACTACACCTGCGTGTGCATAGCAAGCTAGTTAGCATAGCGATGCTACGTGTCACACGTCCGTAACACAACGCGTTGTTGCTTCACGAGCTGACACTTTTGAACCCTGTGATCACATAACGTGTCTACGCGCACACGTCTGATTAGCATAGCAAGCTAGTTAGCATAGCAATGCTACTGCTCCTGGGTCGACCCAAAAAATAGTTTCCCTGCACCATGTTGGAGGAATTTCTAATCACCGTCCAACATTTATTCATATTGCAGGCAAATGAACTGGGGTTGAGCAGACCGGTTGCCATGGCGACAAGTAATCAAAGACAATGCGTTCACCTGTGGATCTGACAGAGACTCTGGACTGATCATACACAGCTGGACTTGATTGCAGGGCACAAACTGAGAAAGGAGATCCGAGCGAGCGACAGTTTGGCTCTGGGAAGCGGAGCTGCTGTAAAGTGCCCGATGAAGCCACCTTCATTGCATTGACCGGGGAATTAGGAGTGTCCTCCCGTTTTCCAGCTTTGTGTGTGCGGGCGTCTGTCACGCTGTCAGCCGCTCAGTGCTCCAGCGCTGGAACCTCCACTGCATACGGGAGGGGTCGGACCAGCGCCACAAGCCTAGACCCCGGGGGAGGGTCTCGTTGATCCGGCCAGTTAAGAGTTTGTTTTAAAGTATGACATCTTAAGTATTTGTGTTATATTTGCAGTCCTGTCAGTTATAAATGAAAGCCGAGCGCGCTCAAAAACCTCGCTCCGTGCGGTGCTTTCTGTCTGTAGAGTGCACATCTTTAAAAAAATATTTGACAGAAAATTAACCGAAGATAAGGTGTCATATTGAAGATTTCGTTTGAACAAAGTATAATTTGAATTTTGAAACCTGTTTTGTTGACATTTTTTGTAATAAATTACTTTTTTTGGACTTCAAACATTTTTCTCAGCGCATTATTGGCGAGTTAAACCAGCCGCCACCTGTAGAAAGTGGTTCTACACACAATAAAGCCTATAGTTTGAGAAAGTATAACACAGAGGTCCGCTGGTTTTAAT